AAAGACAACAATTTCACACTACAACTCTATAAAATTAGATGTACAAACATTGATCAGAAAGGAACATGAAAATTGTATGAATTGTTTTTGTGGACTGTGATTTCACTGTCTTTATTCAGAACTTTATAAATGTTGCTATGACAACTTCTCAATTATAATTCTAATAAAAATAATTTAAAATTAAACCCATGTCATTACCATATGTGTATATATGGGTATATGCCTATATTTTATAGGCATATATTTCCTAGTTCTGTCTCTGAAAGGTCCAAGAAGTAGAAACACCTCGGTAGCAATGAGCACACCTAGCCTTGGTCTTTAATAATACCAGTCTCCACTAACAGGAAACAGGGCTCCTTAGAGAAAAGGCTAATTCCAGGGTTGGGGAAGGGTAAGGACAAGATAAACATGAAACCACAAAGTAAGGAAGTGCTCAAAAAAAAAAAAAAGTGATGTAGTCATGTCACAAAGATACAGAAACCAGACTAAAGGTGCTCCTTCCAGCTAAATCTCCAACTATTTGAACACCAAAATAATTAAATATTATAGACTTAAATATTTAGAGGTAAAAGGTCATGATGTATGTATCTTACCTTCAAATGGTTCAGAAAAAAAACCTATAAAATATACACATATAAATATGGATAGAAAGTATAAAGAAAATACAGAGGAAAAACAGGAATTCATAAGTTAATGCAGATAATAAATAAATAGGGGTGAAGAGAGGGCGAAGAGAATGCTGTGAGCCAACTGGTAAATGTGGAGGGAGTACTAGATTGGTTGAATCGTTTTGCAACCATCATGGTAAAATTATATCGCCAATAGATGCTAAATTTAAACAGGAATTTTGATGAAGAGCAGGATATATTTTCTAATGTCTCCCCACAAATTGCTTATTAATTGCCAGGAAAAAAAAAACAACAACAGTAACTAAAGTACACAGTGGAAAATTCAAGCCACATATGGACCACATGATCAAAATTAACACCATAGATGAGAGACAGATGGCTATCAACGTGCTTCCAGAAGTGATACTCTGAGAAGGTTCTCTGCAATAGTCCAGTTGAGAATGTATAACCTCAATCTAATCATGAGGAAACATCAGACAAAAACCAAAACAAGGAACGTTCTATTATAAAGAGAGGTGGGGGGACAAGCTGCATTCTTCAAAGATGTCAAGGTAATTAAATATTTTTTTTTTAAGGCTGTGGAAATGTTCCAAAGTAAAGGATGTTAAAGAGTTAGGACAACTAAATGTAGTACCTGACCCTAGACTGGATCCCGTCCTGTAGGGGGAAATGCTACAAGGATCAAACCACAAATTTGGATTATAGGTGGTAGATTAAAATATTATTTCAATGTAAATTTATGAAGTTGATAGGAAATACACTCTCAAGTATTCAGGAGTGAATGGCCAGGATGTATGTAACTTAACTTCAAACAGTTCAGAAAAAAATTGTATATAAATATACATAAATGTAAAAAGAGAGACACCATGCTTAAGAACCAGCAAATGATACCGGTGTTCTTTGAACTATTTTTATTTTCCCAACTTTTTGTAAATTTGAAATTATTTCCAAATAAAAAGTTTTTTAAAAACATTAAGTCCACCTCAGAGAAATAAGACCAACAGGAAAATAAAAGGTACCCATCTAAGCAAATTGTTTTTAAAACATCAAATAGTGTATATTGGTTTCAAGTTAATGTTCAAAATGTTTTCTTCTTTAAGAGTCTTCATTCTTTCTTAATAGATGAACAAAACTATAGTTTTTATGATTTTATCTAAATAAGTTAATATGTTGAAGTCAACATTCCATCTGTTGTAGCTTACTCATTAGAAGTAGCAGGACGGAAAAAACAAGCATTGAAAGTACAAGACCTCTAGTTCTCCACAGTACTCGTATTTTCTATTCATTAGCTGGTGATTGCATTCCCGTTTCCAAGTAAAGCCTCAGATTTTAAATTATGACTTCAGTTCTACTCTTATGACAAGAGAAGAGAAGTATGCAGAGATAACAAACTGGGTGGGTGAAAGGGGGTGGGGGGTTGTTAACTCTTTGCTATATTTAAGGTGAAAGAAAGCTGAAAATTGCCCTAATTTAGACCTATATAATTGAGTTTTTTCTTTTCATAAAGTATATCACTTTGTGAGTATTAAAATTCAGGGAAGGTATTCTTACTAGTTTTTTACCTGTGAATTTGATGGTCTCAAGCAAAAGTGCTTTTTCTTTTTTTCCTTTAAAATTCAACTCAGGAATATGCACCCCCTTGTGGTCAAATATAAAATTCTTCATTTTCAAAATACCATTTTTTCCAGTTGGACTTTTTGTTCAGGTATAGAAAACATGTTATTTGGTTTTGTGTTCTCCCATTTTAGTGAATTAAGAGCTTTAATGAAGGATTTGGGGTTTGTAAAAAAAGATTTTAAACAAAACAGGACTTAGATCTAAAGGTAACCTCCATATAAATGTTAGTCTGTGCAAAATGAAAATAATAATTGTACCCACCACATGAGTTATGAGGATTCAAGGGGAAAATGCATATATGCATGATTAGCACAGTATCTGACACATAGTAGGTACTCAATGTTATTATCAACAACAGAATCATCAATTTTATATACAGTCTCTCTTGATACACTATTTTAAAGGGGAGCTTGATCAAAAATTTACCAATTCATGAAGTTCAGTACAATCTTGCAAATAAGTTCCCCAAATATATCACTTTATCCAGACTTCCCCTAGCTGATTCTCTCCACAAGTACATTATATTTTTAAAATACAAAGAATATGTAATTATCTCTGGATAATGGAAATTTGGATAGTTTTTACTTTATATATATTTTAGACTGGCCGGATTTTTTTTGTTTGTTTTAACTTTAATAATTAGAAAAAGCAATAAAACCATTCCATTTCTATGTTACTCTTATTAAATAGTAAAACAAATTACCATCCTTAATCATCTGACAGAAATCATTACTCATATTTGGCAAAAATCTTATGTCAGGCTAATTTATCATTTTAAGGGACTCTTGAACTGGAATGCTAACTCCTAAAGGCACTAACTATAGTCTGATTTTTAAAACACCTCTTAAAAAAGCCATTTTAAAAGATCAGTGTTAAAGACTATTGGCTAATATTTACTAATATGCCAAGCACTGTTCAAATGCCTTTAATATATTAACTCAATTACATTCTTACAACAACCCAATGAAGTACCAGCATTACTCCTTTTACGGATCAAAGTGAGAAAAAGTAACTCATGTAGAGTCATAGCTAGTAATTAGCAGAGTTGAGATTCAACCCAGGTTGGTTCCAGAGTCTACTCATTTAACCAGTACACAAAAGTACCAAAGTGATGTAAGACACATATACTTAGCCATGTTACTTCTTGATCTCAAATTATTAAAATCTATTTCTTTTCCAATGGTTCCTCAATAATGCAAAAATGCAAATTGTGCCGGCCTACTCCCATTTCCTTACTTCTTAGTACTTCAGGCACTTTCATACCCATTGTTTTATTTAACCCTTAAGGGTATAGGTCTTCATATACTTAAGCAGTTTTGGTTCATCACAAGTTGTTTTGCAACAAAAACTGGAAACAAAAAAATACATAGCAATACCCCAGATTTTAAACTGTTCGATTCTTTAGAAATTTCATTATAACTTGGAATCAGGAAAAAAGTAACCAATCCAAAATAGCCTTAAAATGCAATCATTTAGGATGAATGGCAGTTTTGTTGTGTTTTTAATTCATCTTAACTAGCCTGGTGGCAGATAGGATAACTCTCCCAAGCAAATGAACATTTAAAAGAAGTTTTTAAGGAAAATGTTAAAATATTGACAACTTTGTCATCATTTGTTGGCCTGTCATAGCTCGTTTTTGAAGGTGGACACAGATTTGCCTAGGCCTTGTGCTTCCACTTACTAATTTTAAGACTTTGGGGCAAGTTTGTTCATCTGACTTGGGTGTCTTCATGTGTAAAATGAGGATAATACTTCTTAGGGCTGTCGTGAGCAATAAACAAGATCAATCCATAAATCGTTTATTTAGCACCCTGCCCATCAGACTACAGGCAATATGTGGTAACTAGGTTATTATTACTTTATACGTGCGTCGCACAACGGAAGCCCATCTTTGCTACGTTCAGTTAACTAAACACGCCTTTTTTTTAAATCGCCCTAAGTGACACCCAAAGACTGCCCATTCACCGCTCCCAAACCGAGAGAATATTTAAGGACAAGTAGGGCAGTGAGAGAAACTGGATTCGATGAAAGCGCCTTCTCAACAGGCAGCCTAGGACCGGGAAGGACTCCAGCAAATTTAAGTACTCCTTAACTCCAAACAGGCGCGCGCGTGCGCACACACACACGCACACACACACACGCGCGCGCGCGCGCACACACACACACACACACACACACATACACACGGTTGTCGAGTAGGGGAAACCACGCCTCCTGTGTGTACTCAGGTTGGATCGCACAGCAAGGAAAAAGGCTCAGGTTCCAGAATCGGAGTTATGCGGACTCATCTACGTGCTTGGTACCTGCGCTGCTTTAGGCAAATTACTTAGTCTCTGACCCTTAGTTTTCTGGCCTGCAAACTGAGAATAGTACCTACCTCATAAAGTTGTTCTGAGGCTTAAGTGCGATAGCTCCAGTAAAGCGTTGGCATACAGCAAGAGCTCTGCACACAGGTGGGGCTGTTTTAAGTACACGTGTTTCCATACAATCACATGGTCTCGGAGACACATTCCGCTGTTATGAGTTTAGACACTTGCAATAAGACGTTTTTCTTTTTGCTTAAGCTGCACCCTCGTTTGTTTTCCTCGAACAGTAGAATAAATGCCTATCGAGTGATATGTCATCTACGGACCCTCGGCCCACAGTTCCACTGTCCCTCCACCTCCGCGGCTGAGTAAAGGAAAGCTGCACGCAGGCGCAAGAAAAAGGTAGGAGGATTGCCACCTAAGGAAGCGAGGGGAGAGCGGCGAACAGCGATCATTCTGCGCATGTGCATGGCGTGAGGGGTTGGGGGTAGGAGTTTGCGCGTGCGCAAAAGTGTGGGGAAAGCCAGAGAAGGGGGGTTGGAGGCGGTATTGACAGCTGTGAAGGCAGCCCGCGTTCCCGGCATGCCCCGGGGCGGCGGGGTTGGCTCTAACGAATTTGAATGAGGAGCCTTAGCGCTTTCGGCGCCATTTTCGAGTGGTGCCTGATCTCATCAATCTAGCGGGAGAGACGGGAAAACCTGTCCGAGAGTATATCGCCACTAGGACTCCACCGAAAAATCACTAAAAAAATCGCCCAAAATTACTTCGAGCAAAGGGCAGTCCGCGGAGTTTCGCCAGGGTTGGCGCAGTCGGTAAGAGCCTGAAGTAGGAGAGCGGGACTCGAGAGGTGGCAGTGGGACAGGCAGGCGGTGGGGGCGGTGCAGGGAGTGGGCACTGGGTCCGCCCTCATTTTAATCTCTAAAAATGCGAGGAAATAGGGTTGGGGGTAATTGGATGTCTGCGAGTGGGCGGCGGCGGGCAGAATGTGGCGGGAGCGCGGAGAGACGGGGGTGTGGGGGGAGGGGAGTTGCAGTTTGAGCGGGACGCGGACGGCCTGCGGCGGAGCAGCCGCCGCCCAGCGGATCTGTCAGCGGGACCCCCTGCCGGGGGACCGGGACGGGGCGAGGCGGGGCTGTGAAGACTGCGGCTCCTTGACAGGAGGAGGGGGACCAGTACCCCCTCCCCCATTGCCGAGCTGAGTGGTTTTTCTTCGCAGTTTTCCCGGCCGTCTTCTCGTGACAAGAAAGTTAAGATCGGCAGAAAATTGAGGACCCGGAGTAGCGGGTGCCTCCCGTCAGTCATGCAAGACCCAGCCCTGTATATTGTCTTTGACGCTAAAGAGTGAGGTGCCCTAGGAATGTGAGTTTCACAACGCCGCCCTCCGGCTCTGAGCGCCTCGGTCCGGGCAAGAGTAGCACTGACCGCGTCTGGCTTTTCCAATTTGAGCCAGATGGGGCGGGGGCAGGCTTTTGAGGTTTTAGCGGGCTCCTAGGAAAGATGCTGGGCTTTCGCTTTTTGCTTGGGATTTTTGTCATTTGCTCTCCTGGTGTTGTCCTTTCTTTGGGGGGTGGGGAGATGTGTTCTTGGGTGAGATGAAAGATGGGGCTTCGAGCATGCGAATTCCTCCGAGTCGCACTTTTCTTAGAAGACTTTCCTTCTCCAGTCTTTGAAACAAGTCGCAAGGAAAACAATCTGTGAAACAGTATTGATGTTTTCCTCCCGAAAAGTCTTTACCCGGAAAACTTAGCGGTAATGCCCACCTTTTCTTGAGAACTTTCTTGACTCTGAGGCCGAGGGAAGAGGGCTGTTATTTGTCTTTCCCTTTAGGGATGATTTTTTTTTTTTTTTTTAGCTCACAGTTTCTACCAATTCTTACTCAACAACTCTTGAATGATTTGAGCCAGTGACGGCTTCAATACTTTATAGATAGTAACTTTTGTAAAAATTCCTCATTAGAGATATATTGGATCTAGAATCCTTTTCTGCGCTGAAGGCGCCACTAGGTTAACCCTTTGCGGGCGTGGTGTTTTGCGTGTGGGGCGCACGGCTCTGGGTTGCGAACATGCAAGAGATGGTTTTTGCAACAGCTATTCAATTGTTCGCAAAGAGGAATAACGCTTCCAGAGAACCGCAGTCACACACTCTTCAGGACCGCCTGCCTAAAGAGTTTTTCCCCTTGGAATTGAAGTAACGATTGATTGATTTCTTATTTCTGTAAAGATTGGGGAACCCGCCCTCACTTAGAATCTTTTCCCCGAGGAGAACAGGAGAGCGGAGTGTGATGTTTTTCAAATTGTGTCTAACGGAGCTCCCAAAACACCGGATTTGTTATCCCCTGATTGGCTAGAAGGAAGCGGGACTGGGGGGTTTGAATGTTAAACACTAGATTATAATTCTAGACTTCACGAAAAATTATATTTCTAGAGAACCACGGAAATAGTTACAAAACGTTAAGACGAGTTTTAAAAAACTGGTGTTTAATATTTTTTTAATAAAGGACCTTCGAGTGGTTCAGAAATGTATATTAAAAGTAAAACTGAGGAGGCAGTTTTCGTAAAATTGTAATTCTGCTGGCTGAAATTACAAGAAAATTTCCATATTTGCCCCTGTTCTCTGTTGGTTAAAAACTGAGTGAAGCATTTAGGTTTTTTATTCCTTTGACAGAAATTTTGCATCTTAAACTATTTATTAGATGCAGGTTACGGGAAAATTGTTTTATTTTTATGAAAAGAAACTTTAATTTTCTAAATGTTAAGAAAGCTTTTCCACATTTTTCACAAAAAATTTGATATATTTTTAAAACTTTTTACATCTAATTTAAAATATATACATTTTACTAATTCAGCCATCGCAGTGGATTTAAAACTTTATTTACAAGAAATTTATGTTGCTTAAATTTACACAATACAACAGGTAAGTATGCACAGGTGCGTATACATGAATTCATTCCTTTGATAGATTCATTATGAAGAAATATATTTCATACAACAGTGTGGGTGTGTTCTATTTTATTTGGTTGGTTTTAAGATGATTTTTGTTTAGCATTGCTTAAGACAGCCATCAATATATTTCTCTTTATTACCAACCTTGTCATTCCGTTCCATTGCATCTTGATAAAAGGCGGGTGTGGTTTTCAAAGAAAATCAGTAAACTCACACTGATAAACCAGATAGCTGTAGATGCCTTTAAAAAGTTTTTTTTTTAATAGAAATTTATATCCTTTTCTAAATAGTTGAAATTTTGAAACTTAGAGTTTATATTCTCACATTAGGTGAAATATGCATTGTTAGGAAATATTCAAATGAAAAAATCTTACAACTTTCATAAATCTCTGCAGGGTTGTAAATATAATTTATATTAATAAGTAGAATAGCTGAGTTTATAAATCATACTATTTTGTATTGCCTTCATAACAAGAATTGTAATTATAGAACATTTGTTCATTACCTTATTTCAAAGCTGTTTTATTTTGAATCATCTCATGAAAATTTCATAGAAAGTACTAATTATCCTGAATAAAATTTAATTTGATGAAATTGTAGGAGACCCCATTTCTATTTTAAATGTAATTTCACCTATGATAACCAGAACTAGTGGACTTTGCTTTTATTACTGTTGTTTTGTTTTTTGTGTTTTCATTTTCATTCAGATTATTAGGTGATTTGGAGAGTTGTGAGGATGGTATGGGGGGAGACCTTTAAATTCCATCAGGGTGGTTAAATTTAACCATACATTTTTAGTGCTTTAGTTTATGAGGAGTTTTTTTGTTCGTTTTGGGGGTGATGGATGAAGGATTGTTTTGCTTATTAATAAGCCATTTTAAAAGAAGCGAAGGATTTCTTTATTTAAAATACTACACTTAAAGCTTGAGAACACACTAGCACCTAAGTAAAATCTACAGCATTCAAAATATTTTCCCTTTTATGTGATGCTAGATAAGAGAAAGATTTTGGTTTTAGATTTGTGTGCATGTAGGTATGAGTTTCAACAGATGTGTATGATTATTACAGTATATATTATCCATATTTCTCTGCAGTTGATAATTCTGATTTATTTTCTATTCTATTGTAAGGTCTAGAAAAGTCATATAATACCACAGGAAAACAATGGTAGGGAAAGGTGTTGGTACAGTAGCTCAACTCTTTTTAAAGCTGTGTTTACATATTGTGTGGGTGAGAGGAACGAGAGAAGGTATCAGTCTTCCTGGTAGCATTGATTTTCATTTGTTTGCCCTTACAACTATTTTTATAAATCCTAGTAAAACTGCAATTTTAGACTTCGTTTTAATGTTGTCAGCTCGTCTTAGCTGTACATTTACAAATTGTAGACTCAGGTGTTTGTATGTAACAACGTATTTTTTCTTATCAGATTAATGATCACTCAATGTTTATCATGAACTAGAGCTAAGGATGAAAATTTCAAAATAACTTTCATATTCTGGATCCCTTGTTACATCATGCTTTGTTTACTACATTTTTGTTTGTTTTTTTTGTTTCGTGGAAACTTACATGTATTTTTATTTCTCTTTATTTACTTATTGGTATGTAGTAACAATTCAGAATGTAACAAAATACTTCAGTCCAGAAATATAGGTCAGTCGATTGGGTTTATAAAAAGGGGGAAAAAAAACAATGCATAGAAGATTGTATTAGATATTTCTTCCACATGATACATAAGCTTTTTCCAATTAAGAAAATGAGAGTACAAATTTATACACTATTTTGAAATTTTATTCTTCAAAAATTTCTCTTATTTTAAAAAATGACTGGCCTAAAATTGGCTCTTTTCTTTTATTTCTATTGTTTAATGAAGCTTAATAATCCCCATATTGATTTCTTTTTAACCCTTTTTTAGAAGAAAGATTATTGGTCTGATTATAACTAGAAAACACATCTTAGAAAAAATTGTCATATTAGAATATTTGTATACATACAGCTTTGTTCTTTTTTTAAATTCAGCAAACTTAGAAACCTGTGCCAGGCAACTAATGTAACTTGAACTCAAACTGACTTGCTGAAATTTGGTAGCCCCTCTCTTAAGACCAAAGGTTATCAGTAAGAAAGTACCACTTTCTTTCAAATAAGTGTCCAAAATGAGATTAAGCCATTTTGCATTTAATTTTTACAAGTGATAGTATTAGAGCTTTAAAGTTGTGATTGCCTTAATATTATAAGAGTAACATCAGTTTTAGAATATCACAGTACTAATATGTGTTTTTATATTTGATTTGCATGTACAAATGATTGTAGAACTTTCCTATAAATGTTGCTCTCTGGTAGGGAAATGATTTCCTTTTGCCTTTTTTTTAATTTTCCCCTTGCCTGGCTTAGAGATGCTTCCTTTTAGGAAGATAAGTTTCAAATATTAGAATTAACATTAAGTATATATGAATTTTATTCTTAAAATCAAATTATGGGAAGTTTAATATACTTTTGTTTAATCCTATTTTATTTCACTAAAGAACTTTTGCATTGGAAAGAGACTTGCCATAGGTTCTAAGTATAAATAATAAACTATTTTGTAACAGATTTGAGATTTACTATTTCAAGATTTTTTTACATCATATTTTTTATCATTTAGTTTAATATTTGTCTTGTATTTGAACCTCCTTTATTCTGTTATCTGGTATTTTTTGTTTCTCTGCTATTTAAAAACAGTATTTGGCAAAGAGTACATATTGGTGTCTACTGTTTGCCTTCTGTGATTTTTAAAGTTAAGATACCTTCATTTTCAGTGTTCAAATATGGAAAATTTTGTCTATATCTTTTGAGGAAGACCATGTAGAAGTGATTTTAATTTTTTAAGGTGTCATAGTATTTGGATTGGTGTTTGGAGGGGGGGGAGGGTTTTGCCATTAAACAATCAAATATTTGGTGGCAGAGGAATAAAGGTTTATTTGGTTTTCATTTCTTTTCCTAAACTATTTTTAAATAAAAATAGAAAAATCAGAGCATTATGGTTCACATATAGTACATTCTAAATCTTTGGTAATTAACAATTTAATATTTTTATAAAGTTGATTGCCACTAAATCATTAAGATTCAGGTGAAACAAATGAAAAAGCCACTTAAATACATTTAGTTACACCACCCTTACTTGGAACCATTAAAAAAATCGTTGGCCCAATAGTCACCCACTTACTACTTATATTTTCATTTGTTTAAAGAGTAAATTCTAAATTTTGTTCTGTTAAAATTGTAATGTATTAAAATATTTGGCAATAACCAATATTACTGTTCACTCAGGCATGGCAAAAGACAAAAGTTGAAAATAGTGTTAGTTTCTGTCATCATTAAACGTTTGGTAATTTTGGGAGAAAGGCAGTTAAAAATTTGCCTCCTTTGAGTAATTTTTTAAACTGGAGTTTATGAGTTATAGAAGCACAAACTATATCTCTGATATTTTCCTTTTGAGTCCCCTTTACCAGTTCTCTAACACCTACTTAAATACACACACACTCATCTACACTGCTTTGAAAATGAATGCCCTAAAGAGAAATGAAAGCAGAAACATATTAATCTGATTTGTTTGAAGAGACTTCGAATGATAAAGCATATCACAGGTGTTTCTAATCAAGTTATTTCTCTTTAACATTATTTTCAAGTTAGTGTTTTTTTGAACATAGGCAAGATTGAGGTCATTTTGAAGACCTTACCTCTGTGTTCAGGGATCCACTGTGGAACTGCAGGAGGCGGAAATCTGTTGAGTGTCTTCATGCTATAATACATGACATTTTTATTGCAGGTTTTGACCTTTAGGAGAGAGCCAATTCTGGAGAACAACCTAACTTCTTTGATTGAACATTCACATAATGCATTGGAACACGATAGGAGATTAAGGTATACTAATGAATTTTAAAAGCGTACAATTTTATGTCTTTGCAGTATAATTGGGCTAGACAATTAATTGGTAAAGTTAGAACTTTTAGGTGACCTAAAAATCAGTAAAGATTTATTAATACACAGAAATCATCCTGTGACGTCTGTGACGTGGCCATGGTTGAGTACTCTTGCTTATTAAAACTCCAGGTTGTTTTTTTTTATATAGTTGATGTTCTCATCATCTTGTATGAGGTCCAATTTGAACTGTATTTATTCTAAAAATAAGTATCTGTAGTGATTTTTTATTTTTCCTCCTAAGGTTGTTATTACATTGTTATATGTAAAATATTAGTGGACTTTTCAGCTTACAAAATGGAAAGTTTAAATCAAATGGAATTTGGTGCTTGGCTGTGTGACAGGTATACTGGTAGGTAGAGCCACAAAATTAATGAGAATATTTTAAGAGAATTTAAAATATTCCAAGTAGTATCCTAACCAAAAGTGGCAATTTGGTTGAAACTGAAAAACCCACTTTCTGAAGCAGAAATTAATATCTTACTCATAGGTACTCTGAGTGAAATATTTAAATTATTCATATCAAAAGTTGCTAACTCTTTAAAAATAAATAGAATGCCAAAATTTCTAGTGACTTACTGTCTTTTCCTCCAGAAAAGTGGTTAAACTTTATAATAGAACCACTTTTATAGCATATTTATTTTCTTTGATTTTTATAGTCTTAGTTGAAAACTTCAGACTTAGCTAATAAAGTTATTGTTTTCTAAGTGGTAATCTGGTATAATGAAAATGAACTTATTAAACAGTATTACTAAGTTTACTTGGTTAAATTTTGCATAGTAAAGTATTAATCACATGATAAAGTATTAACCATAACTTTTTTTAAAAACTATTAGACAGATAAAATGAGGTTTACTAAAATATAACACACTATAATTTTTTCTTTCAATATTTTTTCACCTAAAAATATATACTTTACATATTGAAGATACAGGAAATTACAAAGGTTTGTTTTCATAAGAAAAGTGTAATTTAATCTTAAAAGTGAAGTATAATTATCATAGAACTGCTTCTGTCTTTAACAAGATTAAAATTTTTTGAGAGAAAATTCTCAGATGTGTGTTTAAGAATGAACATTGAGATACATATCAAAAAAATAATAAACTAATATTAGATATTTCTGTATTAGTAGATATTAGATAGATAATCCAGGAATGTGAATCTATTAACTGTTAAGGTTAAATAAAATGTTAACATTTAATAGAGATCAGTGTTATATAAGGGTGAAGTTTAGGTATTGGTGGCATTACATTGTAAGGCGATTGAGATAAATGTAAGGTATTAGAATGTCTTCATAACTTTGATTTGAGAATGTGTTGAAAGAGCAGCTTAGTTTGAATAGAATGAAAATTAGTACAGTTTTCTTCTCTAACTTATCCAGTGTTTTCCAAGTTAGAGAACATTAAGATGAAAAGTAAAAAATATGGTTTCTAAGTGTCTAAAAAAAAAAAAATCCAGGTTCAGTTTATTGCTTTCGATCCAGATACCTCTACACACAGCTTTAATGAATTAAATGGATGAAGAGAGACGTTTTTGAGTTTATATTTTAGATAAAGGGTTTATTTTGAGTTTATATTTTAGATAAAGGCATAAACCCAGAGTTGTTCCTAATTTAGAGAGTTTATGATTTGTGCTTTTTGAAGTTGTCAAAACTTACAGTTTGGACACAAATATTTAGCATCATAAAATTGTCCTCTCTGTAGCTATATACTGGCTTAAAAACTTCCAAGTTTTGAGCTTAGTAAATAACTTGACATCCAAAAGAATCAATGCAGATATTAACAGTTTTCTTGTATTTGGTTAGTACTTAGAGGGTGAGAAACAAAACTAATTTGTAGGATGTGTTATTTTAAGAGACAAGTTAATAAGGGCTTTTACTGCAAAGTGTAATTGGCTATCTTTTAACTACCCTTTAAAGGACATTTTGTAAGGATTTTGGCTGTTTTAAATTTGCAAACCTAATTCCCTATATCTAACGAAATCTTGATATGTGTTCATTATATCAAAATTTGGGGGAAAGGATCTATTGAGTTATCTTTTTTCCAGTGACAAATTTATATCTTATTTCTGCAACATTTACATTTTTGGTTAAATGTATTTTTAGGATTAAATAACATTCATTTTCAGGAAAAATTCTTAATTGTTCTTAAAATACAGTTATACTTTCAGTGTTCCTGTTCTATTGAAATAGTTATCCTTAAGAGAGAAAGAATATTTGGATAAACTAAAATAGAGATAATTTAACATATCTATGTGTGAAAGGACTTGAAGCTATTCATTATTTATCATTGATGTATAATGCTACTTTATAACAACTTATATTTTAAGCATTTGTCAGCTATAATAACGTTAATAGAGGTTTTATAGTATTGCTGAGGATTCATGAAAGATTAGATACAATTATCTTAAAACTTTTTAAAATGTTTATTTGAAGCAGTTTTGTACGTGTGTATATTTTATGTGGTTTTTTCTTTACTAACAAATACATCCTTAATCTATTTCTGTTTTTCTTCAAATAAGACCTAATTTGAAAGTATTTTCAAAACTCAACATGTAATTAATATGAGGATATAAACTTTTTATTAAATATTATTTTGAAGTAGAATTTCATTTCTCAGCACCATAAACGACACTTTTGATATTTCATTAACATATGACTTGCCTTAGTTTTACTTTCCTATTTTCATGGTTAGAGTCACTTGGAAGAGAAACGTGCAGCATGTTTCAAATGGGGCTGCTGAGACACATTAACTGCTGAGACTGATTAATCTACTGGTTAATATTTATTAAATTTATTACTGTTTGTAAATGTCTTAATGCTTTAAAAATCCTTTGATATTTGTTATTTTTTTATTCCATAGGTTTCATACTAACTATATGTTTAATAATTTTATCCTGTGATCCTTAGAATTGTTTTTTATTTGTATTCTTAACATTATTTGTTTCTTACTGCGCTAAGCAGAAAAATTACTTTTTCAATTTTGATAAAAGATTGGTTTTTTTTTTAACAAAATATCTGAATTTTAAGTATTACTATATTTTATACTTTTATTTTAATGAATCTCAAACCTAGCTTCCTTAACCAAGTATTTAAATTTATCAGCCAATTCTAGCATTTAACAAACTAATTTATAGATGTCCTAATTTTTCAGATTTTTAAAATATTTTTCAGAATCAAAAATTGCTCTTAAGTGATAAAAGAATTGCATTTAACTTTAAAGTTAGAAGCTCCTAAATAGAATCACATTGAAATTTAAAGGTAATTTGACAGAACAATTTATATTTCTGTTATGCATCAATTTTTTAGCTTTGTATTACACATTTAAAGTAGGTAAATTATGTGTGGAAATTTTTTTAATAGTTGGAATTTTTGTAAAAACTTTATAGGCTAAAATCTTATTTCTTTGTTAATAATGTCTGATGTCAAACATGTGGTGATGATTAGATATGTGGAACCTGGGAGCCTGGAGCTTTTTATAAGCAAAATATAATTTCATTTCTTGATTCAAGTTTAGATACTTTCTTATTTTCCAGGAGAAGAGCTAGGGAAATTATTCTTTATGAATTTATTCTGAACCTGCATAGAGCTCTTCTGAGAATTTTGATAACTGAGCAGTTAAATCTGAACTAGTAGCTGAAGATCATTACATGTCATTAATATTTTTTTTACATACATTATAAGTTTACTTTCTAATCAAAACACCAATTTTATCTTTTCTTCTCCTTCCCACATCCTGCTTTTTAAAGAAAAAATTCCTTCTTAAGTAAGTCTATCCTGTAGTGATGTAAACAGACCTGCTAGGTAAGTTTGGTTGAACCTTCTTTTTTTTTTTTCTGTGTTGTATATGCTTTTCTCAGTTTGCTGCTGCAGCAGCAGCAACAGTGAATAAACAAGTATCACCACAGCCCTTGTTCTTGTCTCTTACAGCTGGGACTAGGGGCTGGAAGATTGCTGCTGGTTGTCAGCTGTTGTACAGAATAGCATCAAATATGCAATAATGGTGGCCAAAGGAGCCTGCACCACCATCTTTTATAGGCCAGGTGGAAAGGGCCCAATTGTCAGTATAACCCATATACAGTATAATGAATACATTCTTTGACAAGAAGGTATTTTTTCCCAAAGTAGCATAAAGAGAACAGAAGATACTTATAGTTAGACTCATTATTTTTTACTTTTTACTTGGTTTTAGTTAATGTAGTTTTTATTCAGTTAATTTCATCTGTTTGAATGGAAACCTGTCTTCTGGAAATAAGTATGGTTTCATGTTTTTTCACTGTTAGACTGGAAGAAATGAATAATTAGTTGCTGATAGTACAAGTTAGGTAATATACTGAGGAAAGAAAAGTTGACTGTGGGTGGCCACATAGGAGTCTTTCTTCTTCTTTGGGGCCATATTCTCAGCCCATACTGTCTTCATTTTATAGCCCAGTCTAAACAAGGCCAGATTCTTGTTGATTTCACTGTAACTGAAAAGAACACCATCCTGTACTACTTAATATTATGTATAACTAAATACAAAGTGTGCTACAGGTGTAAACTCATGTCTTTACTTTTCCGCACTATTAAAATAATGTCATATCTGAAAAGTTCAGATGATTCTAAATCTTTTGGAAACAGGACTTTGTAGTTTCAAATAGTATAGCAGAGTGTTTTTGATTTTTACAATTCGAATTTGCACAGATTTGCATAACCTAAATATCTATACATTTTCCTCCTCTATTATATCTAAATAATTCCAATAGGTTGTAATTACAGGTAAGTGAATAATAGATTTCTATTGAAGTTGTGATTTCATTTATAGCACACTTGCTGGAAACTACAAATGACATTTTAGTGTGCGAGTTTAATGTCTTAATTTAAAGTCTGACATTTGTATTCTTTTAAAAAGGTAACCATAATTTTCCCCTGGTCATCTTTATCAAAATCACAACTAATCACTCCTGCTCTTAATGTTTTTCCTTAGCAATTACAGTAAACTCAGAATATTAGTTTCTTGCTAACATTATAAAAAAAAACTTTGTTGTAGTATGTGGTTGGTTATCTGAATTAAAAAAATGAGCCCACAACTTGCTTTAACAAGAAGTCAAACATATTCAACCATAAATTGAGATTACTTTTTTATTGCTAATACTTAAGTGTTTTCTTTAATACGTTGATGGAATTTAACAGATAATATATTTATTACTGTTAATCTTCCCTTAACCAAAAAGTGAGTTGCATAATCCTTTATATTGAAATAATTTGTTTTTACTATTAATTACTATGTAAAATGTCTGTGGTCCACCTGTACCAGAATAACCTGGAATACAACATTTTTCCAGACCTGCTGAATCAGAATCTGGAGCTGGGACTCAGGAATTTGTGCTTTTTACAAGCTGTGATTTATTTTTTTTACTTATTTTAGATGCACCACATGTGAGAAGCACTGCCCAAAATGAAATGAGGGAGGATTCTTCACACCAATAAACCATTTACATTTTCTGGGGTTTTTTCTCCCCCTCTTTGTTCATCATGGATCTAAGCTCAATAACTAATATGCATCTTGTCATTTCTACATTAGTTTCTAGATCAAGTCTTAGTATTTCTCACATGAGGAAAATGTGTATTTATGAGAGCTTTATTTTTGTGCAAGTACCTTGGGCCAAATTTTAGTCTATTTTATTTGTTTGGAACATTTAGTATGCCTGCACTTGATAAAACTGATCACTGAAGAATTTTTTAAATTTTTATCTAGATAGTAGTTATTTTTCTTAAATGTGCTTCCAAATACTGAAGAACTTTTCTCATAGGAACTTTTCTTGTGGGAGCATTTGACAAAATTCTATAAAGTTGAAGATATACGTAGACTTGAACCCAAGAATTTCATTTTTAGATTTCTAGATAAACTCAGACATATGATAAAGTCTTGTTTATTTTTACTTTAATACGGAAAAAAGTGCAAAACAATTAAAATGAAAATGTTAAGCAACAGAAGAATGGCAAATTGTGACATAGTCATATGATGAACTGTTTGTTACACTGCTATTTAAGAGAGCTATGTGTATTGTCATGGATGAATGACAAAAATAAGTTGCAAAAGATAGTTATTAGTATAACAACATTTATATAAAATACATATATAGTATGGTGACATTTATCTAAAACTTGAAAGCAATGATATATATTGTTTTAAATACTTGAATTTGTAGTAATAGTGTAATAACTTGCCCAGAAAATAAATTCCAAATTCGGAATTGTGATTGTATCTCAGGAGAAAGGGGAATGGGATCAGGATATGTTACAAAAGGGACTCAACTTTATGTGTAGTTTTTTTTCTTAAAAAGAAAATAAGTTAAAGTAAATACTCGTAGGCAGAATATTAGAATTCCATATGGGTGGGTTGCGGGGCCAGGAGTATTCTCTTGGTTTTTCTGTGGATTTAAAATTTATTTTTTCAAATGAAAAAAATATGCTGTCCTTTTTTTGGTAAAGATATTTCTTCAATAAGATGTACACGGAATGCTCCATTAAGAGCATGGATGTGTGGGTTTATTCTATTCTTTGACTTGTAGTAAGTGCTTAACTGTTAGTTGGTGAAGGAACTACAACTTATGTCCCACAGAAATCAAACATTCTAACTTAAGTTGCTAGGATATTTTTAAATTGTTTTATTTTTAAAGATAAGCTACAGTGTCTTCTTTTGCGTACTGGCTTTTAATCCTTCCTACTCTTTTAAGTAAAGGACAACCATGGAAGTTTTCCTTACCACCACTCTGTCATTTACCCTTTAATTCAGGCAATTTCACAATTATATTTTGTTTTGGCCATAGGTCATAACATTATTTCCAGAGATTTCTTTATGCATTTTGAACTCCACCTTAAGCTTTGTATTTACACTGTATTATAATAGAATTCTTGAAATTGGACAAAATATGGATTTTTAGATTTCGCAGTATACATGTTTATATGTGTGTATGCGTGAGAAACAGGGAGATTGGTCAATCTTGAGGTATGATCTTAAATTTATCTTAAAATATCTGGTATTATATGATGTTCTCCAGAAGCTCATGTGCTTCAAGTTAGACATTGAAGTATGAATTTTAATTACACTTACATATTTGACTTTTAAACTTCAAGAAGGTAAAAGTAATAGAAAAGTGAATTTTGAAAACTAATGAGAATACTCTGGACTGAAATATATAAATGCTGCTGCTGAGTTTTGTAATCTGTGATTGTTCAGTGCTGCATAGGGATAAGCAAATGGTGATTGTCATCTGCAATTAAAATTTTTTAATTTGCATAATGTGATCAAATTTTTAAAGTCTTCACTTTTATCTTTTTCCTAGGTTTAATAATAATAAGATGAAGACCATAGTAAAACAGCACCCTACTTAGTTCAGCATTTCTTAACCTTGTAAGTATTAACTCACAGTCGTCCTCCCATTGCTATAAAAAGTTACTGTTTGATGTCATGTTTTGCTTTATTTCTGTATTTTTTTTTCTACTATCCTAGAATGACAACTTTCTAACCCCCTTACTCTCTACACCTTGAATTTTGGTATTAATCCAATTTAGAGCAAGAATAATGCCATTGACTAATGGTAAGTTTTGTATTTTGGAAAGTATTTTACAGCCAGGCCCTAACATCTCTAAACCTGAGAGTCACAATTTTAATTTTCTTCAAAGGAATTTACAAGTAATTAATGGTCCTTTCTTATCATCATTATGTAGGTTAATTGACAGTTATTTTATGACAGAAATTTAACTATTTCTCCACTTGAGAAATAGTTTTTCATTAAAATTTTTTTTTTTTTTTTTTTTTTTACATTTCACTAGATTACACTTCAGACTTTGTGAAGTGCTGAAAATATAGCTGTAAAACTTCAGGAGGTGGGAAAAACAGGAAGACAATCCCTTTTCCTTCCTTTTATATATACACATGCACACATCTTTTTCTTAGACTAAGAAACATTTTTACCCAGATCCATTTAACTTTCGAGAAACTAGTAAATTCTAAGGGAATAATTCTAACAGGTTAGCTGAAATTAATACCATACCCCTGGAAAAACTCTCAAATCTAGATAATGATAAATGCACAAGGTACTTATTTTCCTGAAAGTATTTGAGACCCTATACCAAAAAGATTCGTTTCCACCTATTCCTTGATCTAATTCTACATCTCTAAATAAAGGAAACTTAAGTGCAGTTGTTTCTGTTCTTGATGTTGAGGGATGGCCCTGTTTAAATGAAAACTAGTACTTTAGATGCTTTTTTACATTATCTCATACCATTGCATTAAGTGACCCAATAAATAATTTGTATGTGTTGATAAGTGACCTCATGATCATAGATGATCAGCCATTGAACTCAATAAGTAGTTTTTAGGGTGGAAATCAATTAAATATTGAAAGCTTTTAATAATGAGCCAGTTTGAAGAGTAGTAGCCAAATGCCACAGGTCACTTCTTTTTCTAATTTTTTCCCTTTATATTTTTGTCTCCGGAAAACTAGAATGGAAACATTTGCAAATCCCCAAAGAATCCTATATAGTAATCCAGGCTTGGGTTTCTTAATTGGTTCCTTGGAAGCCAGCTCAGCTTTTCTTCAACTTAACTCTTAGAAAAAAAGAAGTCTTTCCAATTGGTATTGCACTCTTACTGTAGTCTGGAAGGCAATCCACTTTTCAAAAAGAAATAGGTGTCATTTAATTTCTAACAGATCTGTTAATATAAGCACATACAGCAGCATCCCATTCTTAACCTCTTTTCATCTCCTTTATAAATTTCTAAGCAAACAGCCTTTCTTGGATTCTCTCCAGCATCTTTTAAACATAGGCCATTTGTAGTATTTCATAGTTGGAATGCTTTCTGTTGTCTAGGTAGTATGCCTGGAGTTTCCTTTAATATAAGATACAAAAATGTTGGTGTTTCCAATGAAAATCCCGAGAAAAATAAGTACATAGTGACAGTAGTCAGTGATTCTATATGATTCTGTGTGTATACCCTCTTTTCTTATTTTTTTATGTTTGTTTAATGCCACTGAGTCTTTGAGATAGGGATTTATTTAAAGCTATTGACTTGTGGAATATGGATGTTCCAGAAGTTGTGGAATATTGGTGTTCCATATATTTGATGCTGTCAAAATTAAATAATGGAAGTGGTTTGGATTCGTTTTTACAAACTGCGTAGAGATGAAATATTTTTCAAGTTAATTTTTCAGTTTAAAGCTCTTACACTTGTTGCTTAACGGAGTATTCAGAAATAGTCATATTTCTTTTCTTATTTCCCACTTTTTCCTTTTTGAGCTATGTTTTGATTTTTCACATTGCATTTTGGGGTACATATGCTTAAATTATATAATTCTGTTATGTGAATTTAAAATAACTAAATATATCATTTGGTGCTAACTAAAATAACATCTTTAGCACTGTCAGCAGTTAAAATCATTGCTTTGATCTTGTTAATCTACATCGACAAAAATCTTAAGACAATGACTATAACTAGGAAACAAAACGAAGCAGAAAATTCACCTCTCAGTGCTATCAGTGTTATTAATCCTGTAAACAAAAGTGATAGAACAAATTACTTTATAATTCAGGAAACTTGTTAAATTTGCCTGCCCTCAAGAGATAGGCTAGTAAAAAGAAATGACAAAAATTATTTCTCTGAGTGATAATCAAGATAAGTTTTTAGAAGTGTTATTAAGTTAGCAGTAGAATAGCAATGTCATGTAATCATACCATTCTAGAAAATATTGTCAGTCCTTGAAATATAAATAGTGTAAATGTAGGACTGCCTGAAAGTACTGCAAATAAAATAAGAATAATCAGGGCAGTAAGTAATTGACATGGCAAATGATATAAAATCTATTGTCTTTTCAATAAAAATGTAATGCTTTTGGTATGCATCACTAGATATAGCTGAATTTTTTCTATGTTTAATTTACTTGTCATGGAAGTTTACTCTTGTGTAAATTACTGTCTGCCTATGTCACTCATGAGAAAATTTTATTTATTTTGAATAATTTTACAATATGAATTTTTCTGGGAGGAAGATTTTTGCCAAAAGAAAAAAAAAGCAAATTGCTCTTTTGGCACTTGGATTAGTAGCAAAGGGGGTAGTGTTATAGTCCAAAGCACAAAAATTTATGAGGGTGCTAGGTACTGACAGCATTTGGTGATAGATAAGGCTTTGCAAACTTACTGATATGATCAATGGATACGAATTTAGTAAATATATCAAATCTAGGCTCTTAAAGCTGTATGTTGTTCTATAATTTCTGAACAGAAAGTTTACAGTACACTACACCTGTTTTTCAGTCATTGTTCAAATAACTATTTTTTGAGATATTGACAATGTTTAAACAAATGCCAGGTGTTTCTTTCCTCAAAGTCTTATATATTTGACATATATATGTGTTTAACAGAATAGTTGAGTTAAAGCTGAGCTTTTATATATATAAAGGAAGGCTGTGTTTCTGCTCTCAACAAAATTAAAGCCATAAAATTTGAATTTTAGTGTGAAAATTATAGAAAGGGGATGGATTTATTGTTTTCTCAACCCGAACAACTTCTCATTTCAAGAAGGGTGAATCAGAGAATAATAGAGAATTTCTTATTTATGAAATTACTTTGAATATTTTCTTAGGAAAGTGGAAACAAGGCAAAATTTAATACCACAGGCCTTCATTTAAATAGGAAGTAAATATGCAAATATAATGAACCCTGGTATAATAGGGATTTCAAGTTCTAAGCATAAATACAGTAGGTAACATCCCCAGACTACTCTGTGCATTCTTGCCCTTTATCACTACTTATTTGTCTGAAATATATGAGTTTTCGAAGTTATCTCCATGTGAAAACAGGAATAAACTGAATGCAGTATTGAAATAAGTGTATGTCTAGATGTCAACCATCATACCTGACTTTTTGCCTAGATGGTCAGTTATAGCCAATAAATAAATTCATTAACATTTTTTTCAGTTTTGTTTTCCTTAATTTGGCTCTTCAGATTGTTTTTTGATACCCCTGGTATTTGATGCCCTATAGTCAGAACTTAAAATTGGCCCTAAATATAGCTTCTAAAAATAGTTTTTATATCTTTCTTTAGGTTAAACATACCCAAGTCCTTCCATTGGTTCTCATAGTATGAATTTTAGCCATTAGTATCTTAGATATTCCACATTGGCTCTGCTATACTTTGTTAGTATTTCTTTTAGAATAATGTGTATAGAACTGAACCCAATATACTCAATGTGGTTTGAGCTACAAAATACAGTGCATCTCTTATGAATAAGATACTTCTATTAATGCAACCTGATTCCACAGACTTTCCCTTTGTCAACATTGTTGGTTTATGTTGAATTGCCATCCACTGAAATCCTAACTTTGTCAGAAATATGTTTCAAATCCTACTATAAATTTAGATTCAACCGGTATTTATTGAATACCTATTCACTACTAGATGTGCTCATAAAAGTTTAAGATTGTATAATCTTAACAGGGCTATGAAGTAGGTATTAATAGGCTCATTTTACAAAGAGGAAACTGAGGCTACATGTACTGAAGTAACATCCAAAATCAGGATTCCATCATGGGTCTTCTGGCTTCATGTTCACTGTGCTGTCATTGCTGCCTCAATAAATTGTTTCTGCTGTTTTTTATATTGATAAAGTTAGAAATGCAGAAATTGACCAGTGAATTCTTTTGCACTCAGGATGATTTTAGAGCTTAGAAAACATGCCTAGAATTTTTTAGTGTTTTTATTAAATATAGCAATGCCTTATATAAGCTAGATGAACTGAAATTAGAGCAGTGTAAGATTAAAAAAAAAAATCCCTAAGCAAAAATTTGAAACAAAATTAGAGTTGTAAATCATTTACAAGGAAGTGAGGGGGAAACCATTAATTTATATAAAATTTGTGTTTTTTTACTCTTTAAAAAATGTTTGTTAAACCATTATAATATGGAAAGAAAACTAAATTAAGGTGTTTAAAGATTCCCATTTATTTACTCAGATTCCATGTTTAAGTTGACTTCTTAAGCAAGACATTTATTTTGTCTCACCTTTCAAAGTGACTATTTTTCTTAGAAGATCATCAGAATGAAAAGTTGATAAATATCAAAAGCCAGCAGAGATAATTAAGAGCCCACAGGCCAGAATGTAAACCAATAGACTTGGAACTAAGACTGTTGTATAAAGATAAAAGACAAGAGCTGAATGGTTTGTTTTATGATTTTTTTTTAATAGTGTTTTTTTTAGTCTGCTCCTAGTCATTAGGGTTTTTTCCATATCTAGATAGGGAGGAAGGTGGGTTTTCTTTTACATTTAGCAAATTTAGAAGCAGAGATTTAAGGGGTGGACCCACTATATTTCCAGTGGACTAAGAGGAGTGAAGAAATGGCATGGGTCATACC